ATTGCCTACATGTAGGTAAGTGCACCTGTGTCATGCAGTGCCCATGGAGGTCAGAGAGGCTGTCAGATCTCCTGGGACTAGAGTTATGGATGGTTGTTAGCTGTCATGTGGGTGCTGGGATTCGAACCCTGGTCTTGTGCAAGAAGAACCAGTGTTCTTAACCTCTGAGCCATGTCTCCAGCCCCAGATTTTATAGTTTTAATGTACTCCTGCCCACCAGGAGAAGCTCAATAATCCAGCTTCTGTGGGCCAATTCATGGAAAGACTGGTTGTAGGCCAGCAGAGAGCTTTTAACCTCATGGTAAAATTAGTCCTACTATGCTTAGGGCTTAGCTTGTTGCATATGAAGTTTTGTTAAAAATAAAAGAATTGGGCCCCTGAAATGGCTCAGTGGGTAAAGAAAGGCTCTTGCTGCACAAACCTGATGATTCAAGCTCGATCTCAGAATCCATGCAAAGGTAGAAGGAAAGAATCAACTCCACAAAGTTATTCCTGATCTATACACACACCATGGTACATGCATTCCCATACATGTGCACGCATACACACACATTATACATACATACACACAAAATAATAATAAAGCTTAAATAAATTAAAAAATTAAAGATAAATTGGAAAAAATGTGAAAACAAGACAAAAAACAAACAAAACCAGGAATCATTTTCTCATAGACAAATGGGAAGACATTAGAATTGACATATACACAAAAACATTTTCTGAAACAGTGACTGATGCCACTTCATCACACTTCTTTTTTTAATGTTTTATTTATTATTTTTATTTTATGTGTATGAGTGTATTGCCTGCATGTATGTGAGTGCACGTGTGTAGTGCAGTGCTGCGGGGATCAGAAGAGGGCTTTGGATTCCCCTGGAACTGGAGTTAAGGACAGTTTGTAGCTGCCATGTGGGTGCTGGGAATCAAACCCAGGTCCTCTGCAAGAGCAGTCAGTGCTCTTAACCACTGAGCCATTTCTCCAGCCCCTCATCATACTTCTTTACTGCATGATAATCCAAAGAATAAATTGCTGAAATAAAAATAAAGATGAAAGTTGAAAATACACATTGTTTTGCAGATTCTAAAATAATAAAGAGCATTATTAGTTTCCTTAATTAGTAAGATGAAGAACCTGGAGAAGCCAGATCCATTCTTCAAGTCAGTAAAAATTTTATAGAAAAATATTCAGTGGTATTCTTATTTTTTTAATATTTTGTTATTTTTATTTTATGTGTATGAGTGTATTGCCTGCAAGTATATAAGTGCACCAGTGTCGTGCAATGCCTGCAGAGGTCAGAAGAGTGCATTGGATCCCCTGGAACAGGAGTTACAGACAGTTGTTAGCTGGTATGTGGGTGCTGGGACTCAAACCCAGGTTCTCTGTAAGAGCAGCCATTGCTCTTAACCACTGAGCCATCTCTCCAGCCCCCTCAGTGATAGTCTTACATTTTCCTCTTGTTTCTTGAAAGTCAATGATATGAAAACAATTGGTTATCATTAATTTAGTGGGGAAAAAACAGTAAAAGTAACTTCCTAGGTATGTGTTAGAATCTGTATATACTCAGATTAAGAATTTCTGTACAGATGCAATAAATAAGCAATATTCAAGATGACTATTCTTTAGCATTGAAGGACCAATTCATCCGAGAATGATTCATTTTTTGATATATTAAGCTAAAATTTTGAATAAGGGCTAAATTTTAATAGCATAATTCTTTTATCAAAAAATACTTCCTCTCTAGCCACACCAATTAGATTGAGTACCCTGTGACCCACTCTTTGTCAGTTCACTAAGCAGCACTTCATCCACTGGTAGTTTCAAAAGGTAAAAATCAGAAAAGAAGCTATGGAGCTTCGTGAATTATATGTGTTCATAGTGGCAATCAGAATTTCTCACCAGCATTATCAGTGAGAACAGTTCTGTACATTGGCCTGATACCAGCAGCTTTGGCATAGCCATATCTCCACCCCCATAATTATGTTTTTATGTGACCTGGTTTGACTGGTGTTTTGACTTTTCTGTATGTAATCAATATCAATGAATAAATAGTGACAAGAACATGGAAAGTACAAGAAGCAGTTTAGAGCCATGAAAGCCATAGCAAGAAGGAATAGCAGTTGTCTAATTGGAGTCCCCAAACTGACAACCAAGGGAAGTCAAGGTTCAAAAAACACATCCAAGAAAATAAGTGAAACAAAACACACACACACACACACACACACACACACACACACACACACACTATAGTAAGTCTGCAGAACACCAGAGAAAAAGAAAACTTGTCAAAGTAACCAGTGAGATCAGAAAAAGCATATTCCTAATCCTAAAATCCAAAATCCACAAAGCCCCCAAATTTTTGAGTGCTATACTGTCATGAGGAAAATTACACAGCTGACCTCATTTAACAGATTGAATTCAAAATACAGGTTCACTAAAAAACAGTGTTAAAATTATTTTCCAGTAGTCATGGTGGTAGAACACATCTGAAATCCCAGCACTTGGAGAACTCTGTAAAGCTCCAAAGGCTGGGGATGTAGCTCAGAGGTAGAGAACTTGCCTAGCTTGTGCAAAGCCTTGGGTTTAGTATGTGGGCTGATCATACTGGCACCTGCTTTGTGATCCCTGCACTTGGAAGTCTTAGTCAGGAAGATCATGAGTTTGAAGCCAACCTGGACTATATGGAGAGACTATATCTCAAAAAATAAAAATAAGGAAAACTAAAAAGGAAGGATGGGGACTGGGGACTGGAAATGTAGCTCAGTGGTAGAATTCTTGCATAGCATACACAAGGCCCTCAGTTGTAGTCCCAGGAGAGAGAGAGAGAAATATATATATATATATATAATATATATATGAAACAGATTTTAGACTTGAACCCACCCCCTCCCCAAGACCAAGATACTGTATTGTATACATGCACCTATTCGAGACATTTTTTAAAAATTTGAAATCCAAAGCACTTATGCTCCCAAGAATTTCAGATAAGGGATATTCAGCCTGTATTTAGAGAAAGAGTTAGCCACTTGAGAAAAAGAAATCCAGAATGATTTCATGAATTCTGGCTTGAGAAACAGAATGGAGTTGCCTTGGCTGAACTGGAGAAAGCCACAAGTAAAGGGGGTTTGAAGAGAAAGGACAGTACCTCAGACTCCAATAATTTTCCAATAAGGCTGGCAAGTAAGTATGCTTGTTTGTTTAGAGTTCACAATATGAGTCTAAGGGCAGGGAAGTAGCTCATTTAGTAGAACACTTTCCTAGCCTGACCAAGGCCTTAGGTCCAGTACCCAGCAAAGGAAAAAAAAAATCTAGAGAAAAGCCAGGTATAGTGGCACATGCCTTTAGTCCTACCACTCAGGAGGCAGAGGTAGGCAGATCTCTTGAGAGTCCCAGGCCAGCCTGGTCTATATCAAGTGTCTCGGTCCATCCAGGGCTACACAGGGATATAGAGAGACCCTCTCAAAAAAAAATGTCTGCAGAAAGTTAAAATGTATGCCAAAACAAAGCCAATATTAATTCAGTGATGTTTTTTGTTTTGTTTTTAATTTTTAAAAAATTTGTGTGTGTGTGTGTGTGTGTGTGTGTGTGTGTGCATGTGTGATGTGATTATGGGCATGAATACGTGTCACAGCATGCATGTGGAGGTCCAAGGACAACCTTCAAGAGTCCATTCTCTCCTTCTACTATGGATTCCAGGGATCAAACTCAGGTTGTTAGGCTTGCATAGCTAATGCATTTACTGAGCCATCTCACTGACCCAATTTGGTATTTTTTTTATACCTAATAGGACCAACTAAATTTGAGAGAATTAAGAATTGAGTTTCATGAATATGAACATAATAAAGATGAAAGAATACTGTAGATGTAAGAAATGGAGCTAGAAGACATTTTAGATTAATTTTTTTCAGTTCTATCCAAAATATATAAGTAAATTCTGATGAATACTCTGTTATTCCCACAAGAGCACATTTGCATTTTGAGATAGCAGATTTTCTGAGGGTTCCAAATTACTTCTTATATTATTTCCTATTATCTCTTTCTATTTGTAAGCTACAATGGTGAGGGATTCTTTTAACTACACAAATAAATGAAACAAATTCTGCAGGAAATTATGCAACATAGAGAATTCCAAAAAAAAAAATTATCCACATGTGGATTTTTATTGGTCCTGATCATGTTTTAGAGTGAAATGACTATAACTTTGCCAAACTGCTTAGCACAATTATAAAGACTGGGGCACACTGTTGGAATGATTTGCAGAGAGACTGAACTGATTACATGGTGTTTTATTTGCATTACATTAAATCCAGAGCACTTCTTAGAGCATGCTGAAAACCAAATGTAGAGCCAAGGTATACGCATGACATCAGTTGGATATGGTCAGTGTCTAAGAGCTAAAAAAGGACACTAGAAGATCCTTCTGTTCTTTGGTGTACAGCAAGGAACAGTGAGCCATGGAAAGACAAAAGAACTTGTGCAAGATCCCCATGGTAGAACTGAGTCACAAATTCACTTCTTTCCTTTTCTTCTGTTGTGTTCATGTATGTGCTCAGGTATACATGTGTATGGGGTGTGGGTGCATGTCAGTATGAAAACATGTGAAAGATAGATGACAACCTTGGGTCCACAACATTGGTCACTACCTTTGAGACGGGGCCTCTCATTGGCTAGGTGCTCACCAATTAGACTAGACTAACCAATGAGGCTCAGGGATCCTTCCTTTTCTCCCTCCCCAGCAATGGGGTTACAAGCACACACAACCACTATGCCCAGCATTTGTATATGGGTCCTGGGGATTGAACTCAGGTCCTCCTGCTTGCAAGGCAGGCACTTTACTGACTGAGCCATCTCCCAGCCCAAATCCACCTTTTCTGATACCCAGGTCAGTGCATCTTTATCCATAGGTTGATGATTCCATGTGTCACAAAAACTTAAAAATTGCACATTTTCCATATCCCTTTTCAGGGTTTCTTCCGAAGAACCATCAGATTGAAGCTTATTTATGACAGGTGTGATCTTAACTGTCGGATCCACAAAAAAAGTAGAAATAAATGTCAGTACTGTCGGTTTCAGAAGTGCCTTGCTGTGGGAATGTCTCATAATGGTAAGTGGACACCAAGCCGTATTTGCACCTTCACACTTTCATCACAACTGCCAGGTCCAGGTCAGCAGGTACCAAAGCAACTGATGGAAATGGGTACAGTTTTTCCATAAAATGCCCAGTTTCAGAATATTACCCTGATCAGAGATTCTTCAGGTAGATCAGTGATTTTAAGCTCCCAGTTTATAATCTCCTGTGTGTCTGGACAGCTGCAATGATAGGAGAAAAGATTTAAAAGTTGGGGAAAGGAGCTGTGGAAAAACTGTAATGTTTTGACATAAATGTAGTGATAATTGTGATATTTGTGTTGCTTTCAAATCTTCTAGAAATAGTTTAAAAACAACATTATACTAAGTGTATTGGTAGTTTCTGTCTACTTTAAGAAAATGAGTACTTCTGAGTAAGGAATTTTAAGTGCTATGTCAGAATTTAGGTTTATGTTCTTTGCCATACCAAGATGAACAGGCCATTATTCTTGACTCCAGAGAACATAGAGGCTTATAGAAAGGAGACAGCAAATATTCTGAATTTCCACAAGCTCAACTCCATAGACATACAAGAGGATACAGTTTTACACTTTTTAAACCTGTATTTAAATTCAAACCTAAAGGGTGCAACTCTGAAGAAGTATTTGTGTAATGTCATTCATGAAGTCCCAGAATTCCATCCCCAGCATTAAAAAAAAAAGTCAAGCCCATGATTTTACTTGTCAGTTTAAGAGAAATAATGAGGAAGACCTATCTTTTCATGAGCTGTAGCACTAACTCATCCCAGTCATAGAAGATCGAAGCCTGGTCAAAAATAATACTTCATTACCATTTGGTTCTGATTGGATTACTAGCCCACAGAACATATTTTAGCTATAACTTGATAGCCTTGATAGTATTTTATTTGTCAAGTCTTGGTCAATTCTACATTTAAGAACTAAAAAGTACTAAAATGATCAAATTAAAGTTTTATTTTATTTGATATCCAATTTTTCCCTTAGTCTTCCTTCCCTCCCTTCCTCCCTCCCTTCCTTCCTACTTTCCTTCTTTCCTAACTTCCTTCCTTTCTCCTCTTTTCTTTCTCTTCATGCAGGAGATCAAACCCAGGGCCCTGTGCACGTAACATGTAACATGTATATACTTTGCCACTAAGCTACATCTGAAGCTCCAATTTTCATTTTCTTTTGCTTTCATCTCTCTCAAAACTGATCTGGTAAGAAGACAGTCTTTTAACTTAGTCTTCATCTATATGTATCTGAGAAAATTAAATTTTTGTTCTATCATGCAGATGTTTGGTTCTCACAATGGAAACCATCAAGATACTTGCCAATCACCAATTGGTTGATACTCTACCCTTTAAAAATAGTTTACAAAATTGTAGTTGTTATTATGGGTCAGTTCCTCTAAAAGCAAGAATGTATTATGAATAGAGCTATCAACAGTATTGGACAGGAAAGGGATTTGGTCCAACTTTCCTCAACATTTGACCACATCTGCTTTGTAGCAGCGTACAACATCAGTCAATTGCAAAATAATTTGCTGGTTTAATTCCATCAGTTTCCTTTTTATTTCAAACCTCATAAAACATAAGGGCAGGTTTCCAAGCCAAGAGCTATATTTTAGTTGATGCAATCAAGTTGCAATAAACTTATTTCATATGTATGAAGAAATCATTGACTTTGAGGTCATTATCATTGAGATAGCCTCAAAAAGCATGCCAGTTCTGCTTTTAATGCTATTTGGGTTTTGCCTATTTAAAAAACTGTCATTTCACACATACATGTGAAATATAATTCCTAGTACTGACAGGCCCTACAACATTGATGTAAAATATATTTCCTGATGTTTACAAGCAAGCATTCACTCACATGAAATATATCTCCCATTGCTTAGTGTTTATAAATAAATATTATTTAAAGCCCAATCTGAACTAAGGGGTATAGCTCAGTGCCAGAGTTTAGCATGCACAAGACCCCAAATTCCATCCCTAGCACTGTTCCCCCAAAACAACCCAACCTATATAATACGAATGGTATAATTTTCTCATCCCCAAAAAAGTCAAAGCTACCATAAACTTGACAGTAAAGTTATCATTTTACTTCATATGATAGTTAACTCACACTCATGAGGCAGAAACAGGTAGATTTCTGTGAGTTCAAGGCCAGCCTCGTCTACATAGTGAGTTCTAGGCCAGCCAGAGTTACATAGTAAGATCTTGTCTCGAAAACAAACAAAGAAAAAAACCAAAAAAGTTAACTTACTCTATTTAGAGGGACAATCTTAACAGAGTGAGTATTCAGTTACTTCTTGCAAAGGCAAGAAAAATAGGAATTAAATGTCATGGTGTCAGAGACCTAAGCAGCTCAACTGCTATAAAGAATTTCAAAGGTGACTCACAAAGTCCTTTCTCAGAGGTTTTCATGGAAATGTGTTAGCTCACCAAAAGAAAAATACCCATGTGCTCTGTGCAGGGGAATGGGAAAGCAGCAATGGGGCTAATTAGCTCTGCCTGAGATCCTGATGGGGAAACATTTCTAAATACAAAATTGTCTAGGTGGTTGTAGTCACTTTGGCCAATGTGAGGTGATAGCAGTGAGGGTTGCCTTCATATCAGATGCCCTTTTAAATTACCAACAGAGGTGTCCAAGTGCTGTTCTACAGACAAAACCAGTATGTAGCTGTTTTCAGTGTGCACAAGAAGAAATGGATACTCTCCAAAGTAAATCTGCCTCATATGTGTTTTTTTTTAATTAATTAATTTATTTATTTATCTATTTATTTATTTACTTATTTATGTATTGGAGGAAAGATCTCACTGTGTAACCCAGCACTCGTAATCCTGTCTCAGGCTCCCAAATACAGTGATTATAGTCTGTTTCTTTCTGTTCTTTTGCCTCTGTTTAGTCCATTTGATATATTTAGTGTCTTTGTCAGCAATGTCCTTGAAACTTTGAAGGAAGATTCTAAAGTAACCAACACAGAACTTTAGGGCCTTGGAGAAGTGTGTCAGAAAGTCACTGAAATTAGTGATCACAAAGACCTTTTAAAGTTGATAATTCTGATTCTTTGTATTCAAACAACATAATCTGCCAGGAGTGATGGTGCACACCTTTAATCCCAGCACTGGAGAGGCAGATGCAGGTGAATCTCTGTAAGATCCAAGCCAGTTTGGTCCAGGCCAGCAGGGCTACAAGGGAGACTTGTCTCAAAAACAACAAAAACCAACCATAACTTATTGAATTCTTCATTTTTTCAAACAGTATTACTTATATTTTAGACAATTTTATAGTCTTCCCAAATATATGCCTAATATATCAATTGCCTAAATTTGAAAGTTTGTGTCTGTATGTTTTGGTGCCATAAAAACATAATTTGCATGCCTGAGTCAGGTCTGTGTGTCTAATCAGTTGCTCAACAATTTAAGGCACTTAATTTAATGGCTGTGTAATAATACAGGGCTATATATAGTATAAATCTGAAGCAGTCTGACTAGAGAAAATATAAATCGCATATTAGGTTATGCTTGACAGGTTAGTCAACTGTCCATCCCTGAAGGTTGTGTCAGATGTGGTAGTACACAGTAGTAATTCCAGACTCAGGAGGCTGAGTAGGATTGTCAGGAGTTCACAACCACCCTAAGCTATAGTATTGAGACCCTGAGCGCATGTGAGAGACAGAGACACAGAGAGAGAAAAAAAAGGTAGAGACAGAGAGAGAAGTTTATTTTAGCTCACAGCTGTATAGGTTCTAATCCATGATCAGTTGGTCCTGCTGGCCTGTGGTGAAAGAGCTCATCATTGCAGGGCATGAAAAAGAAGAATGGCTGGGGTCCCCTCCAAGGGTACACCCTCAATGACCTGAAGACTTCCTACCTCTTTAGGTTCTACCACCTCCCAGTAGCACCAAGCCTTTAACACATGGGTCTTTGGGGACACTCCAGATCCAAACAGCATATGGCTCAAGCTCTTCAAGTAGAACCTTCATCTTCATCATGCCAATAGCTTAAGTGTTGTAGGACACAATTTCAGAAACTTTCAAGTTGGAAACATGTTTGTTCCTCACTCATTTCCAGCATTGGATAAAAAGAGCACTCAGGTGCTGAGTTAACTGATGTGTTTGGAAGCCATTTTTGTGTTGTTGTTTTCCTGTTCATAACCAAGAGAAACACATGTTCAATTATTTTGATTATTTAACAAGCCATCATTTTCTAGACTTGTTTCTATCCTGTTGATTGCTCAGAAGTCTTCCTGCATCACTAAATGCAATGGACTCAATGCCCTGTCTAAATCACCTACAGAAGAAAGCTCAAAATGAAAGTGAAGTAGAAATAAAAACCCAGATCCTAGGTCACCCAGAGGAACATGTAACTTATTAAACAATCAGTGCATAAAATACTGTTTGTTGGAAAAACTGGTATCAGTAGACTGTAATAGTTTTTTTTTTGACAAGGCCTGCTATCATGTCCCCAATATTAACCCTATTTTTAAAATATTTTTGCATTTTAACAAAGCAATATAGCCAAAGAATAATTTTGAGAAGTGAATATCTTATATTTAGAACTACTTTTTTTCTTTTTTCTTTTTTTTTCTTTTTTGTCTTTTTGAGACAGGGTCTCCCTGTAGCCCCAGCTGTCCTGGAACTCACTATGTAGACCAGGCTGGCCTTGAACTCACAAAGATTAATTTGTGCCACTAGTGAGCCATTCAGTAAAGTATTCCCTATAACACTGAAATTTGGTAATTGTGCTTTCTTTTTGAGGAGCCCCTGGCTCCTTTCTTTTACCAGTTCCACCTATATGAAGATAAGTCAAAGGTCCTGCTCAAGCTTTTTATAAGTTTAAAAATTAGTGAAAGCTCTGTTGTTCAGGATGTTCTGTGAAATAAATGAGATGGGTTTTTTTTTCCTTTTATTTAAAATAAAAGGCTGACAACTTTAAAAGTTATCTCAGTAGTTTCATAAAACTGAGAATGGCTCAGTGTTTAAGAGCACTGACTGCTCTTTCAGAGGACCTGGGTT